AATAGACTTAGCCATGCCGTTGTAATCTTTCAATTTATTCAAACTACAAACACTCAACGTCTAGGACTTTCCAGTAGACAGTTCCAGCTATCGACTAATTTTTTTATCTAGACAAGAAAGACGAAATATATCATTATAGCTCAAAAGTAAAATTGCAAAGTTTGTTGCAAAATGTTGTAAAATACGGAAAATATAGCCCTGCATGTCAAATTAGCAAATTTTGAGTATTTTAGTATTACGCGCGGCAAAAATAACCATTTTTGAGCCGAAAGTGGTTATTTTTACTCCGCGTAATACTAAAATTTGCTAATTTCACAGGGCTATATTTTCCGTATTTGACAACATTTCGCAACCAAACTTTGCAATTTTACTAATTTTAGGATGCTCTTTTGAACTGTAATGATATATTTCCTCTGTCTTGTCTAGATAAAAAATTAGTCGGTAGCTAGAATTGTCTATATTGGGCAGTATAAGTACAACTATGCAAATTTACGTAATTTCCTGCAAAATTATACCTATGAAGTTTAATTTTTGGGGCTAGATCTCCGATATTTCAATAAGAATAAAATTGAATTTCACCATTAAAATTTAATAACTAAACAATTATAAACTAAAATATTAACATTTTCAAGCTGGGCACAAGGTTTAAAATTACTGATATTCAGGGGCGTAACTTGGGTCTCACCATTTGGGGGGTGTCAACAATATTTGCCCAATAAACTAGTTTTGCCTAACAAAAAGAGGTGTAACAGTAGTTCTACTGCCTTTTCCGTTGAGTTTTAGCTTTTTTTGACGAGGGTCCTGTGCAACTTCTTTGTCTTATCAAAACAAGATCGAAAAAATCGAAAGGCAAAATCAAATCGGGCACTTTACAAATTACAAATTACAATTTGCAAACATTCAACAGTGATATTATAATTGATATTAAAATTATAAATTATAACATACCATCCATTTTATTTGCATATTATGCTGGATACACGTTAGCACGTCGTGAGCTGTGAGCAGATATTTAAAACATAACAACGCGTCACAAAAAGCACTAAACCGTGTATAAACTCTCACATTTTCGTCTCGTTTGCATAACAATTACACATTTACACGTTTTTGATATTGAGCCCGCGGTATCATCGTCAAGGTTTATATACAGGGTGTTCCAAAAAAAAGTGACACTATAGAAATTATCTCATTGTTCTTAAGCCGCTCTTAAACGCGAGTCAAGCAAAACGATTACACTAATAAACGGTTTGCTTTTTTACTTTAAATTCCAGAAGCAGAAGTTTATGCACCTGTGGGATCAACTTAGTGCTAGGGCATTCAAATTATAACAATAGGATAATTTCTATAGCGTCACATTTTTTTGGGACACCCTGTAGTACTTCCAGAGGCGTAGCCAGGATTTTTGGTCAGGGGGGCCCTCAAGAACCCAGGTGGGGCCAAAAAATATTTTTCGGACCACAACATTTTAAACATTACCAGAAATATGGGACAAGATGGCGACGGACATGCGCACTTTGACCAAATATGGCGACCAAATATTACTATAAACTATATGGGAGTTGATCAAAATATCAAATTTTAATATACTTTGTTTAAATATTTCATGGTTGCGGAGCTCGATTATAGTAGCGACACCAACAAGCAATATTTCTAAACAAAAATCGCTAGTATTGCACCGCGTGTAGCAGGTTCCTGAGAATGTTGTATTTTTACACGCAATTTGATGAATTTCATAGTGTAATTTATAGTAAACGTCTGACACAAGAGGTAAATATCCGACGAATAGACCAACATCCATTCGGGCGATGAAAAGTGCGGAGCTCGCAACATATTTAATGATGTCCAAACTGTTAATTTAGCTAAATAAATCCGCTGTAATTCCCAGGGAAACTGGTTCCCGAAACGTTTAAAAGTTCGCCTTTTTACGGTTCTTGTATGTCGCCATTAGGCCATCTTAATATCCGAAAACGACAAGTTTTAATACAAATTTGAGCTGTTTCGAGCAGCCATGTTTGTTGTTTATTTTAAAAGACTAGATCCCAGGCTCTCACGTAAAAACACAGGGATATTTTAGGATTTTTTAGGATATTTGCAATATTTTTAGTCTTCATAAAAATTTGCGGGGTTAAAGGTCAAAATACCGGAAGTGATCAGCATAAACTGCAAAATATAGTTTAAAATCACAATTTTTGGTTGAATAATACTTGAACTGGAGATTCAAAGTAAAATGCGAAGTCGTTTTACTTATATTAGGGAATGTTGGGCATATAAAACGGACTTAGCCGCTGACTACAAAAGCGGGAGCAAAATGTCCCATATTTCTGGTAATGATCTCTCCGACCAACCCACCTCCCCCCCCTCCTGCCGATTAAAAATTCTTTTGTGTGCAAAAAATTGCCCCACTAGCCTCGTTTCTGGGTAGAAACTCCTTTGAAATCTTAACATGAGTACGAGGCTAGTTAGGCCAGTTTATATGCACATAAAAGAATTTTTAATCGGCAGCCATTTATGAAAAGGGTGCATCACTTTTTCCGATGCTTCACCACAAAGATTCCAACAACATTGACACTTTTCCGACGGGTCTCAACTTGAAGCTATATGATCAAGGATTCCCTTTTTTATTGCCGCGTAGCGAGCGAGCCTAAAGCGAGCGAGCGAAGCAGCATTCTAATATGTACAGAGAGGGGTTTTCGAAGTAAATTTTATTTAGCGCATTGTATTTTTTTAGCGCATTGTATGGTATGAATCGATTTCGTATTCCTTAAGCTCCGACCACGTCACCACAGTGCTCACAAGTCGCCAGTTCGCTGCGAGTAATAACTGCATGCTTTCTGAAATTTGTACTATTTTGAGTTCCAATTGCTCTTAATGCCCGCAGCAATCCCTACCTTGCAGGTACCCTTACTAGTACAATAAATTTTATCAGGGGGCCCCCAAAAATTTTGGCAGGGGGCCGAACATTTTGCCAGGGCGGGGGGGGGGCCGGGCCTCCCGGCCCCAATCCTGGCTACGCCTCTGAGTACTTCATTTCTTGCTGATTAAAATGCATGACCCAAACACGCTAAGAACAATGCTAAAAACAAAACTCGGTCGTCGGTCAATCTTCAAATTCTACAATACGGTTTTTTCGTTGTTTACCTACAGTAAAGCAAGGTAACCTTGCCCAACAAATAGCACGTGCTTTGAAGAAGTTGTCCGACAAAATTGCATATGTAAACATTGGGGAGTGTCACCCCCC